ATGGTTTTGCAGTGGACAGAGCTGAAGCCTGGAGCCCCTGCAGAACACATCAGTGGATGTGGTTTTCTATCGTTTTTCTTTGGGTACCATTAATTGTTAAATGACACAGAATTTTAACCTTTCTTAAAAATCCCATGACATTTATCTGTCTAGGCAACAAAAAGTTCTATTGAACTGAGAAAACTGACCCAAAAGTATTTTACTTGTAATTGTAAACTGTAAGTCCTAAGGCAATTTGCTTCAAACAAATGGTCTTTTTAATTAAAAAAGGAAGAAAAAAAAAGGGGGGTGGAGTGGGGTGGGGGAAGAGTCTTCCTTCCCCTTGGTTTACTGTCCTCTGAACATCTCTGGTATGTCCCTGCTTAAATAAAGCGTTGAGTGCTTCTGCTTTACTGTCACAGGAAGCTTCAGGGATGTTTTTGGTGAGAAAAATCTTCTGTGTGGTTTTGGGAACAGGAATGTGCTCCTTCCCAGCTCGTGGTGGCCAGAACAGTGGGGCAGCCTGGAGCTGCTGGCCTTGTAATGGACTTTGGTCACTTGTGTTGCACCAACAGATGATTTTGGGGCATCTTCAGCTTTGCTTTGGAAGCAGGAGTACTTGGAGATGAGACAAGTAGATTATGTGCTTTGAAGTAGTAACTGCAATGGGAAAAGCAATTCTTGGTGTTCCACCTTCAAGAAATACTCAGCACATGACCTGCTGGGTTTGTGCTTGTTTACAGAATTTACCCATGGCAAAGAAATCAAAGCTGTGCAAGGACAAATTCAGGAGAGTATAAGTAACCCAGACCAACCACCTGAGCATGGTTACCTTCATCCAGATGTACCAGAGACTCAAATCTTGAGCCTACAGCAATTAATTGACTCCCAGCTGTTGTTGAACTTGATAGTCTTAAAGATCTTTTCCAACCTAAATATTTCTGATTCTATGACCTTGAAGCTTTCCTAGAGGACAAGTGGTAGTAATGCCACAGTTCATTAAATATTTTTATTCTGGTGTAAGTCCCGTTAGTTTTTATTGTTAGCCATTTAATTTCTGGATTACTCTGTGCAAAACACATTTACCAAGCCATTAGGCTGCCCTGGTCTGTGCCTGCCCAAGAGTGAGCTCTCCTGGGTGCCTCTCCAGAAGGAATTTGGTTACTGCAGCACTGTTCCAAGTTCTTGCCATCATTAGCAAGTCATTAGTAAATTAAATCTGAGTGATTCCCAGCAAGACTCGACAGAAGGAGCAAGTATCAGCAGTATTGTTTCAGTTGTTTGTGTTGGCTTCATGCAGAGGAACCACTTGAGCCATGTGCTTTGTGCTTAAGCACACAGCTATGCTTTGTGTTTAAATTCCTGAGTCCTTGATCACTTAACAGGAAATATTTTTACTTTTGGAAACTGAAGGAAGTGTGTGGGTCTACTCAAAGGTTCTGTCATTTATGTGTAATATAATGTGGATTTTGAAGAATGTCATCTGATGTTCACCTAAAATTCCCACTGATATGGTATGTGTGCTTAAAGCTAGTGAAAGTCATTGATTAAATGTTTGTTTGATTGATAACCAGACCCAAGTGCTGGGAAATCTGCTCTATTTATATGGGTTATTACTGTTCTTTCCATGATATGGAAGAAAATAGGCAGCTCTTCAGATACTTGAACTAGATGTATGCACTGGAATTAGCAGTCAGATTTCAAGATGAGTGAAGGTATGAGAAAGCCTTTCCCCTACTTCAGATAATGTTCTCCGGGGTATTTCAAAACGTGAGGGATGAGTGCTGAGTAATCAGGGTGGCTCCACAAAAGCCTTTCCCCTGCTTCAGATAATGTTTTTCTCCAGGGTATTTCAAAACGTGAGGGATGAGTGCTGAGTAATCAGGGTGGCTCCATCCAACACTTTTCTAGCCCAGCTCAGCCTTGTAGAAACATGGCTGCAGTCAAGTTTTCTTTCTGCTGCCTTTCTCTTTGCTTCATCTGATGAAAAGAGTTCCTCCTCAGTGTCAGCATGGCAAGAGCAGATGGAGCTTGAGTGGCTGACAGAGAGACTCAGTGCAGGAGTGCCTGATGCTGGGGCCAGCCCATGGGGAAGTGGAGATGCTGCTGAGCTGGCATTGAAGGCTCTTCTGGAACTGAACCAATTTTGGGGCTCTACTTCTAAGGCAGTGTTTTGCTCTTGCAGCCAAATTCTTGTGTTACTATGCTGTGATAAATTTATCTTTTTTGCCATCTTGTCTTAGCTCATTTCTGAAGTTCTGCAGATGATAATAATTCTTACATTACATCTTGTTTGTCAATACCAAAGTGCCCAAAACCCAACGTTCTACTCAATTGAGCAACAGTACAGCGAAACTTTGGTTGAGATTGCTGGAGATGGAGGGTTGGAGAGCCAGAGGATTTGGTTTCAAATGGATTTATTTTTCCTTTCATGTCCTTATTCAGTCACATTTCTTAGGAAGTGTATCCAAACCAATAATTTGTCATCTTGCACTTTGTGTCTCATGAATTTGGATGAACAACAGGAACTATTCTTCACCCAAAATGCTAGAAGGGGCTAAGAACCAAAATTAGATCTTAAGTCAAAGCTTTTATTCACGGTTTCAAGTTCAGGGTAGTGGAATTTCATTGTGGGGTTTGTAAGGTTTTTTTGCAGCTCTTTGCTCATGAGATATTTTGTCGGAAAGGAAGAGTGCTTTATGACTTATCTGCACAGTGACTTTGGGGCATCTTGGGAAGTTTGCCTAAGAAGGCACATTTAGGTTGTCTTTGATGTACAATCTGCAGAATAGGATGCTCTAGGCCAAAGACAAATTCTCAACAAACAGCAGGGAGTCCATTAGGGTAGACCCAACAAATTTCCATGGTGGAACTCATAAGGAAACTCAAGAGAGAAGCCAGTGACAAAACAGAGAATCGAAGTCTTCTTCGTGTCATTTTGGAGCAACTTAATGATAGAAAAGGCAGTTCTGTGTTCTTTGGTTCATTACTAGACTTGTGTGAGCTTGTGACACATGAACTCAGAATTTGCCTTCCCTGGCATGATGAGGGCAACACGGGCCATTAAAAAAAAAATAATGCCAGTTGGGCAGTTTTTATGTGTTTGAGTACAGAGTTCTTCAAGGAACTGGATAGAAAGAAAAAGTAAGTTCTGGAAGGTGTAAGGACTGTGCCCAAGTGCAGATAAGTGCATTAGCCCTTTGTCAGCCATTCCTGAATGGGAGAACTTCTTGCAATTATTCATAGACACAGAATCAATGGCTTTGAAGCACCAGGGAAGCTGAGGATGAGGTAGAGCTTTTTCATGTGCTTCACGTTCTGCTGCAGGTCCTGGGTTGTGCTGGGAAGCCGAGGACAGGACTGCAGAACTCTGTGGGTTTATCCAGGGCACCCACTGCCAGGGAATATGTGTTAGGCTCATAGGGCATTTGTTCAGTTATTTCTTACTCTGTACTTAAAAACTTTTAACCTTACTGCTAAAGAAAACTACCATTGTGTGTTAGTACGACTGGAACGAAAGCTGAATAGCGAATTAGCCTTGAGCGAACTGTCAATCTGACTTTGATAGCCCATCACTTAAAAGGTCCTTTTATGTTTATGAAAAAGCATGACATCAAAGCCAGAGGAAAAAAAATACCAATACTTAGAGCTTAACTTAAACTTGCATAACTTCCAAGAGGAGGCCTTGTGTGAACTGTTTGTTTGTCCACTTGCATGGCTAATTAGCGTAGGTTACTAAAAGTCTGAGCAGTGGCCATCAAGTTTCTTCTGCTCTTCTGGGGTTTGTTGTGCTTCCATATGTGGATCCCTCAAACTGGAGTAGCATAGACAAAGGATACTGCAGTTGCTTTTCTTGCAACCTCTAGGTAGCATGCTGGAAATGCTCGAGTATAACCATTATCAGGTGAGTCGTTATTGGAGACTTGTTTTAAAACCTGTTGCTAAGAAGGTGTACAGTGTATGGGAAACTCTTTTCCTCTGGTGTCTTGGGTGCTTTATTTAATTTCTTTCATTCCAATAAGTGGGGTCCATGCATGGTCACTTTATAACAGCAAAAGTCACTTTAGTGGAATTGTTTTAAAGCAAATTAACTTCTCAGCATGTTGCCATATTTTGGGTGGATTTCTATCGTTCAATAATAACGTTAATGATCAATGAAAGGTGACAAAGTTTTCAGGATATGGTGGAAAATTTTAATGGGAAAAAAAAGGCCTTTCTTCTCTTGCTTATTTAGAGTGTGCAACAGTTGTTCAGTATGAGGATTTTCATATTTTGTATGTAAAAAATTCCTAAGTACTGAGAAGCTTATCTTAAATACAAAAATAGCTGTTGCTGACGACAGTGATTGATCTGAACTGAAACACTTCTTTTCTTGCATCTTATTTGCATGATGTGTTTATAAACAGGCTGTCTTATTTGTATATGATTTAGGCTGTATATCTGAGGTATAAATATCTGTAGGCAGAAAAAGGTGTCTTTGTGTCTTCTTGTATTTTAACCAAGGTCTTAATTTAAAAAAACCCCAAACATTCAAAACCTAAACAACCAATAACAGATCTTTTATATCTCTGTTATTTGATTCTGGATTAAGGATAGCAATCCATACTTCTTTATTTTAATTGTTAGCTACTAACAAGTAAAATGAGTCCTGCGGTACAAGTAATTTCTCCATATTTTAGTGAAAGCTAAATGTCACGTAGCTGAAGGTCTGAACTCAGAACTGACTGTTCTGGAGTGTCTGTATCAACTGAAAACCCAAGCGTTGGTCTTAAGTGAGAAATCTCATGTTGTAGAAAAATAGATGGAACTTCTTGGTGTACTGATAGTAGATCAGCTGTTGAAAGACCAAATTGTAAACTGATTTCTTGCCACCAAATGTGCGTTATTGAAGCACTATGGACTTCGTTGGAGCTGTACAGGTTTGTCCTTATGTCACAAATCTATAGCTCAGATCCACAGCACCTGCAGTGACGTTGTAAAACAATAAAACCCTTTTATTCTTTTCAAATTGTGTCATACAGGTGCAGACTCACCTTGAGAATCCAACCAAGTACCACATTCAGCAGGCCCAGCGGCAGCAGGTAAAGCAGTACCTCTCTACCACTCTAGCAAATAAACATGCCAACCAAGCCCTGAGCTTGCCATGTCCAAACCAGCCTGGGGATCATGTCATGCCACCTGGGACGGGGAGCAGCGCGCCCAACAGCCCCATGGCTATGCTCACCCTCAACTCCAACTGTGAGAAAGAGGTAAGAGCTCTCCTGTTCGTGTTTTCATTAAAACAGAGCTGTCATCTGCTTTAATTAAGTTGTTTTAAAACTATATTTGCTCACTGTTAAGATGTTCTGTTTATCTTTTTCTTCTTGTCGTGAAAATGTAACTGCTACCTCTGTGTCTGCCTGATTAATAGATATTTTTGGCAAAAATCCCATGTCCCTCTAGCTTCCTCTTGTTTGAACTATTTTAGCTAGTTTATACTTATTAAAACTACTTTTCTTGTTCCCCAGCCTGTTGCTTGATGCACACAGTGAATAATTGACCTTTGGAGAATACAAAGCAGCTTTGTAAGCTGTAGCTTTCTGGAATAATGTTATTTATGGCTTGTTCGTGTAGAAAGTGCAAAGAGCATAGCAAAATAACTGAGAAAACACAAAGCTATTTTGAGATATTTTAGGTATTTTTATGGTAAAATTTGAGCAAGTCTCCTGCATAGCTGGAAGCCAGATTGTCCCAGCTAATATGCCCTAAAATGTTACTGATTGATGTTCCAGTGCTGCAAATAAAAGGCTTCAATAGCCTATGTCTAGAAGCCCTTTGCAACCTTGTCTTAATCTTCAGTGGCCAAAACTGAGTTAGATGTTACATGTGTGCTCAGGCTCCAAAACAAAATGGTTGGGAAGATACTAACAAATATAAGAATAATGTCAGAATTTTTGTAGCATGAAAAGTAGGAGGCAATTGTAGAGTTCCTCTTGTCCCCTCATTCCCCCTTCAAGCTTTTTTGCCAGATTTTCAGTACAGATGCATTCCATGAGCAAAATGTTATACAGCTTGGAGAAACTGTTATTACAGGACATATTTTGCACATGCAAGGGTAATTGTTGTGCTCCATAGTTTTGAAAGCAATGAAAATGAGGTGTTTCCATCCTGTTGTCTCAGCTGTACCCAAGCACATTTTTTCTTGAGGATATTTTCAGCTTCACTTTGCTGTGTCATCGGGGACATGTGTGCATGACACTATTTCATTCGTGCTCTTTTTGGGACTGAGACTGTGCCATGAACTCAGATCCATGCTTTGCTTTTTCTTCTTTTTTTTTTTCTTTTCTTTTTTTTTTTTCCTTTTTCTTTTTATATCTGCAGGGATTTTATAAATTTGAAGAGCAAAGCAGGGTTGAGAGTGAGTGCCCGGCTCTGAATACCCACTCACGAGCATCATGCATGCAGGTACTGGATGACACAGGAGGTGGAGCACAGGTCCCTTTTCTAATGAGCATGTTTCTTTCATGTTATGTTGAAAAATAAACTTACCCCACAGTGTCTTTAAGAAGTTGAATATAAGATATATTTAAGGTTCAGTTCAGCATGTTGTTTATTAGCATTGTGTCAAAAGCATGTGAAGATACCTGGAAAAGGCTCATGCTGTTCTAGCACAGTAATGCCATAGCAGAAGAACACATCAACCATTTAAGGTCTTGCATCAGGAAGTCTTTTCTAACTGGATTTTCCAAGACTGCATGGATGTGGGTTTGCCCTGATAATCTCTAACTCCACACTTCTATGGAGATCACACTTGTGTTTTAAAAAATTGTATGAGAAGGCTTTAATCCATCTGTGGTAATTCATCCTCAGTAATCACCCTTTTATATTTTCATTCTTTCTCTTAAAACTAAGAGGTTTTTATTTCTTAACAGAATCAGTAGCAAGACTTCGGGTATGGGCTGTAACTGTTAGTTCCTTTCTTGCCCTCACTTCCAGTCAGTGTAATTTGTTGTGATCACACTTTCTGGAGCTGATAAAAAAATCCCATGTACTGCTATTTTGATCGTCACCATTATGCATTGATTTTGTAGATCTCTGCCATTTAAGCTCCGTTTTCATAGTGAGCAAAAAGGACATAGTCCTGTCCTGAAATAGTCAATCCTGCTGGACAGTTCAGGGCACGTGTGTGGGTGCTGTAAAGGGCTGCTTCCTCCTGCCTGGAGGAAACCTTCCAGCCAGCCTATGAAAGAAGGTGCTTTGTGCCACCTAAAATCAGCTCTGAGCTGCCCCTGGGAGGGTGTGTGAGGGACACAAATCCAATGGATTCTGCTGTCAGGGGCCAGCAGCAAATCTTGGCTCCCTCTCCTTCCCTGCAGGTGTCCGGGGCTCAGTGTTCCTGCCTGTGCCCAGGTTTTGGTCCCATTTTATGGAGGGGAGGCAGCAGTGCTGCAGTGGGGAGAGGGAGTGGTGTCCTTAGAGTCACTTATTCCACAGGCAGCTTCCTCCTCCTCTGCTGCAGGAGGAGCAGTGTGTCTGTGGGCAGGTGGTGCAGGGTAACTGCTGGTGGGAGGAGGGCGTTGCACCATGAATCCTCAGCCCTGCCATGACCTGAGTGTCCTGCCTGGACAGCAGGAGTCACAGCTGAGGGATTGCCCAGCTGCACCTCTGCTGCATGGCTGAAGTGCTTTGTCAGGCTCCCGTGTCCCTGTGAGTCTGATAACTGTTCTGTTTCTCTTTGTCCACCTCTCTGCTGCAGATGGATGATGTGATTGATGACATCATTAGTTTGGAGTCCAGCTATAATGAAGAAATCCTCGGCTTGGTGGACCCAGCCCTGCAGATGGCAAACACGGTACAATGGTCCTTTCCTTCTGGTTTCCCTGTTAAGTCTAACTGGTTTTCCTTGAGAGGAAGCAGAACTGCAGCAGGGCTTTTCTTCCTTGCAATTAAGTAGTTACTGCATTGTTCTACAGAAAGTAATTAGATTTCCTCTGAAGAGTTTAAGGTGATACAGTTGCAATGAAAAATGTGAATTAAAAAATACAAGCTGGAGTCAGATCAAGAAAATACAAAGGGCAGTTTTGCTTTTCTTATTTCCAAGTTAGTGGTGAGAGGATTGCAACAGAGGAGTAAACTGTGCTACCAGGAGTAGCTCATTCCCACTGATATTGAAGATTGTCATGGACTTTATACTTTGCTTCAGAAAAGAAGGAACCTCTGGCATCGTAGGTTCCTGAATGTTGTCATATTCAAGTAAGAAATTGTCTGCCATGTGTTAGCATCCCTATCCAGAGACACTTTCTGTTATCTCTAACATCACAGCTTTATCTCTGCCTGATTTCAGGTGGGGAGAAGTCCCCAGCTAGACGTCAGCAAAGATGTTACAGAATTTAGCAGGAGGAAAAAAAAAATTTAAAAAAGCAATCTTCCAAACAAACAAAAGGGAAGGAATAAAGAAGCTTGAAAACTTAACAAGGCAGGGGACGTGGGAAGCCTGTGATAAAAGCCAAGAACACAGAGGTGCAGAAAGCGCTGAGGGAAAGCACAGGTGTCCTCCAAGTGGCTCTTTTGGTTTGGTTCACATTGCTTTGAGAATTAATGTAATCATACTTCTAGCATAATCTGATTTTGATCTTCTGTGGAGGGTAGCTCCAGTGAATTTTTTGCCTTAGGCTTAAGTGCTGTTAGATCTGGCTGAGTAGATGTCTGCCAGTGCTGGCGTCTGTTTCTGTTTCATCTGGTGCCAAAATTTACAGCTTACCACAAAGCATTGATTTTGTGGCATAGGTTTGCATTTGCTGACAGTAGTTGTCTGATGTCATGTTAACCTGGTCCTGTGCTCCCACAGATTCCCACAGCCCTCTCAGAGACGTGGTGGATGACGCAAGAAGCGGCCCACCAGCTTCCCTTTCTAAATGGTGCCCTTTGAGCACACAGGGAAAGAGCTGCGCGGTCCTGCTGCAGAGAATAAATTTTCCTTTAATCTAAGATGACTTGCAAAGTGCAGCTGTCCTGGAATTTGAGAGGAAACCTCAAGGAGCTGACAAAAGATAGCTTTCAAAAAGTTCATCTTTTTTTTTCCAATTTATCTTTCTTTTTTTTTTTTCATTGAGGGATGAGGTTCTTCTGGAGTCTTTCTCTGAAGTTCCATTGGATTGGGACACATTAATTCAGAAAGGGCTTGGATATCTTCATGCTTTTCTTCTTTTCTCATTTCACAAGGACCTCAGAGTGGCTCTTTGCTTCCAGACAGGGATAGAAGGATACTCTGCACTCTTACGGTGCAAGGAGCCCCTGTAGTCAGTATCTAGGGTAGTCAGCATCCCTCCTGTGCTTTGCTGTGCATGCTACATGGCATTGTAAAGACTACCTGATCCACATTTACATGTGGAATTTCAGAATTTTCCCACTCTGTATGGTGAAGTCTGAAAAATAAGGATATAAACAGTGAAATTAAGACTTCTTTACTGATAAGTTTAAATAACTGGCGGAAAAAAAGCATATTTCAGTCTCTGAATCAGCCTAGTACCAATCCTGAAGAGATGGAAATTGAACCATGTTTCTCAACAATTGGTTTAGGGAAATAAACCAAGCCAGACACTTTTCTTTTGGGACAGGACTTAGCTCTTAAAACATGCAACATTTTATTAATAAGGAATTAATGCCTACAGACTGAGCTAAGTCGAGGTAGGAGAAATCAAGAGAGGAAACGTTCTCTAAAGAGACACAAGCTATAAATAGCTGTGCTGAGTCTGTGACAAAGGCAGTTGTTGTTCCATAACCAACAAAGAACAAAAGGACCAGTTTGTTACAGTTGGTAACAGTACTTAATTGATAAGCAAAATCAGAGATTTCTGTGCAGGGCAAGCTGAGGGAGTTTCCAAGTACCTTGGATTGAAAATGGCCCCTTGCAGTCAACTGCTTGTGAGAGTGGGATAATACCTGTGGTGGAAAGTATCTCAAAATGGTAACTAGTTTATAGAGGCTTTCTGCCTAGATGTCACCTGCTAATTGAATTACTGAGTACTGTATAAAGTGCTCTTATGGAGATGACAATTAATTCATCCAGCTAATCAACTCCAGCCAGAGCCTGGCGTGGAAAGCTCTGTGAATAGGTACAGCTCCACTTCTAAATGTGGCTTTCTTCTGGAATTTAAACTCCACAGTAGAGGAGTTTTTTTACAGGGGCTGCTGCTGAGCTTGTGCTTGTAGGTCAGGGAACATCACAATATATTGTGGGCTGCACAGGCTGGGGTGCAGAACCCATCCAGTGTGTACTGGTACCTTAGAAACAGCCTTGTTGGTCACACAGCTGATGTCTCAGTGATTTTAGACAGAATGTGGGTGCTTGTTTTGTTGGACTAGTGGAGGAGAAATGAAAGCCTCAGACTCCCATGAATGTACACTATGATGCATCTGCAGTCATAATTACCATATTTCAAATTTCTGTTATATAAAAGCCATTATTAGGAAAAAAAAAGCGCAGATGCAAAGTTGCAAAGTAATAGGAAGATTTTAATTTGTTTTACTTCGTGTTTGTGCAATTTCTGATGCCAAGACCTTGAAGTATGAAATCTCCCAAGTGAAAGCATTTTCAACCATGCTGTTTCAATGAAGATAACATGCTAAACCTGGCATAAGCCACCCTTCCTTCATTTACTTTCTGGAAGAATAAAGGTAGATGATCTGGCTGGTGCTGTATTTAAATTCTTTCTTAGCCAGAAATAGTTAAGAAAGCTCTAAGGAAAACCATATTTAGGTTGGAAACATGCTAGAATTTGAAGAAGACAGGGAAGGAGCTTCCTTAGCTCCAGAAAATTCCATGTATTTCTCAAGTTTGAGATTCCAGCTTCCCTATGAAATGGCTGTGGAAGTTTTGACATTTTCCCATCTTGTACTTGAGGGTGGTGGTGAAAGGCTCCACTGTCCAAGAGCCAAAATGTTTGCCAACAATGTGTATTTTTTTACAGTTTCTTCAGATAAGAAACAATTGAAATAAACACCAAGGTGTCACTGCAACGGGCTCATAATAAACTCCTTTTGGGCTTTTTTTGCCCCATTTAAGTCCAGTGGCTGCTTTTGTGTGCTCCCCACACTGCTGTCTTGTGCATCTCAAACCAATGCCCTCAGCACAGGGGTCCTCTGCCCTTTCCCAGTTCCCTAAACCCTGCACTAATGATTATTGGGTTTACCTTAGTCAACCGATTTTATTCCTCTGGCAGCTTTTATAAAATTGTGAACTGAGGATGTGCCTCAATTTTAAGTTATCTTTAGCTCCAGGTATTTTATGTGAGATGGCCCAGAGTGTTGCATGCACTTTTTTGGAAAGGAATTAGTGTAAGTTATGTGTGAGATGTGACCAGAGATGTGACCTGCAGCAGCCCTGGAGAAAAAGCCTCTCAGGGACTCATACTGAGCGTGGACCATGTGTAGGAAAATGTTACAACTGAAGCTTTTGCCTGTGGAGTTTGGATGCTGGGGAAAATGGTCAAAGAAAGGAACTGATCAGTCTCTTTGCTCATGGATCACTGATTTAAGTGGAGATTGTTGGCATCTCCCTCCCCCTAATGTGAATTTCTCTGGAAAGCATTCCTGTGGACAGCTTTAGCAGCCATGCACATGTTCAACAGTTGCTGCCTGTCGTCTCTGTCCCCTTTTGTGATCATTGCTCACACTGGCCCTGTTTATTGACATGGAAATCTGGCTCAGTGTTTGACTCCTTTGGGGAAAAAAAAATCAATCACAAACTGTTGTAGCAATCAGGGTCCATGTTGCAGTAAGGAAGGCAGCTCACGTTTCATTACAACCTGGCTGCTTTACCCAGGCTTTGAGATGCCACTTTCGAGATTTCTAACAAAAAATCTTCTTTTTTATTTCTAAATTCCCTGAAGTTCCTAATTAGATTTCACATGTCTCATTGTGAACTTCAAGTCCTTGGGCTACAAACAAGGTCTTTGTGCTCACCCCATGCTTAGGAGCATGAATAGTTCAAGCACATCCAAGCCAGAAGGGTGTGTGACGCTCTTGCTGTGTCAGTGTCAGGGATGTGTTTGGGGGATCCAAAGGCACAAGGTCAGCCTTGTAGGGCAGTGGGATTGAGTGGTCATCCTGGCACTAACATGGACAGGTCACAACCAGCATAGCTGTGACCTGAGCAGCACTATTAGTTCTTCCTTTTTTTCCCTTTTTTTTCCTTTTTTCTTTTTAAATAAGGCTGACTCATAGTGAGAATTCAGCTACATTTATTCCTCTGTCTCTTCAAGTTTTAGTCAGGGGACTTTGGTTTTGTAATTGGCCATTATCTGTTCTCAACAACCATCAGCATGGCTTCTAGCTGGTGGTACTTTACATATCCACTCCTCTTTAATCTGCTTCCATATGGCAGAGAAATTTTCTTAGGTCCCAGTCTGGCAAGGCCCATCAGTAGGAGTTTAATAGTCCTGGCTGTGACTCACTGCATTGTATTCACCAGCATTATTTACATGGGTGTAAAGTTAATACCTACTCTAATCTCTGCAGGATCAGTGTCTTGGAGGGATTGGTTTTCTTTGCAGCACTGATGATTAGTGTTACCACTCAGATAAGATACCTGAGTGTTTTATACCTCTTTTCAAAACCAAATAAGAGATGGGTAAAATAATCCACTCAGGTTAATTGCAAACTTCTTTAAATATATTTCAATATAAAGGGATAGCTTTGATAGATCTTGTTGAAATACTGTCCTATTTCTGTATAAATCTACTTGTTTAAATACCTAAATAAACACAGCAAAGTGAACAAGTAATTGAGGAAACTTACTGTAAAAATAATCTTCCTCCTACTGGTGTGCATTTCTGTTATGTAAGGCGAAAAACAAAGTAAACTGAAATGTTTTCTGTGTAGGTAGCTTTCAAATCACATGAAAAATGTGATTAATTAATACAGTGTTCTTCTTCCAGCATGTGACAACTTGCAAAGTGCTTCCACTCACGTATCCCTGGAAAAAGTGGGGGGTTTCTCTGGGAGAGTTCTGTAGGCTCTTTCAGATATGAGAGAAGTTTAAGGGATATTGATGTAATAGTATTAGAGAAAAATAAGGAGCAACAGTGCAGCAATATCGTCAGCATTTACCTCTTCTATTACCTCTTAATATTTTAAATCTGCATGCTTTTGAGGAGAGAGAACAGAATTTTCCCAGTGTAGATGTTTTATCCCTCATGCCTGTGAATATCTGTGGATTTTGCTGACCTTCTTGCAGGCTCTGTTTGCACATGGAAAAGAGCACAGATTACTTAGCATATCCTGACTCTGTTCTTCTGTACAAAGGCATTCATAAAGACAAACCAAATAATCCTTTTCCTTGTTTATCTTTTCCAGTTGCCTGTGTCTGGCAATTTGATTGACCTTTATGGCAACCAGAGCATGCCTCCTCCAGGACTAAACATCAGCAACTCATGTCCAGCTAATCTTCCTAATATAAAAAGGGAGCTCACAGGTAAATACACCTAAAATACCACCTTGGAGTAATAGTATCATTTGAATTCAGGTGATACCGGACATAATTTCTGTTATGAGAAAGAATTTATGGGTGAACAGTTACTTTCAGCCTGTGTTCATGTGTGGGTGCATGTGTGTTCTCTGTCACAAGTTCATAGAAAGTCCTTAATTGTTACAGTCACACCTGCGCTGTCTTGTGTTCGAGGAAGCTTCCATCCATCTTTTCCAGAGCTGTTTACTACTTTAGGCTTGTTGTTTGCTCTGTCAACATCAAACTTTAACAACTTCACATCTGGAGTCTCTGTGGGATTCATTCAATGATACACATTGGGGCTTTACCTTAGTAGGGGAGGGCAGTAATGAACAATAACCTGTTAGGATGTGAAGTCTGGACATGTAGATCCTTTAAAATATAAAATAGGCATTTGGGGGATTGGAATTTGATGATCCTTAAGGTCCCTTCCTACCCAAGCCATTCTATCATCCATGAATATGCATCACCAAATTAAGATGAAAATGAAATGTTCCTTAAAATTTTATGCCAGTTCCTGCAGCAATGCTCTGAACAGGCTGTGGGAGGCAGGGGCAGGAGAGTGGGACATTAAAAACCTCTTTTTCTCAAGCACATGTGTACAGGAGCAAGATCGTTTGAAGCAAATAATAAGTTTCATATTCACAGGCATGTTTTATTTCTGCTCACTTGAAAGGATATACCACACATAGAGAGCATATGCAAAGTATGGTTGTCTGTAGGCTGTCAAATGGAGTTCCACTCTAGAACTGATGGTAAAATCACATTAATGCCCAAAAATGCCTGTTCTTAAGCCCAGCAGTCACTGACCATGCAGTAGGGTAGGGGCCTGGTTTCTTTTTTGTCTGTCATCTTTCTGGGTTTCTGTTGTGAAAACTCACAGGCTGACTCAGTTGCAAAGCAGGTTCTGGGCAGGAATTAGTTTAAGCAGAGCAGTTTTAATAGGCCAGGAGGAAATGCCACCTCTCTGAGCCAGCAGATATTTGCATTTATAGTACAGCACAGAATTTGAACTCAGCACCAAAAAAAGACACACTGAGCACACAATGATTTGTGGCTGCTAGAAAAAAGCCAAGCTTGTACAGAGATGGAACTGTGCAAGAGGAGGCTGGGAAGGGAGGAGAGCTGCTCAAAGTCCTGTATTACAGGCAGTTTTGTTGCCCCAAGTATAGAAAGTCCCAGGGGCTGTAGGCTGCAATCTCAGCCCGACTTGGATGTGCAGACTGGTGGATTTTCTGCTGGCTTTTTTTTTGTGTCAGGCTTCAGGCCAAGAAGGCCTGAAGAGAGGGAAAATTGTGAGTGAAGTGGTCTTATGGAAGTCCTCAGTACATCCAAACAGAACTGAAATAAGTTTAATGTCCATATGCTGCACTTACCTGTACACAGAATTCCTTTAGGTGAGTCTTTTTCTGATCAAAACAAAGTAATACAGGAAAGAAACTTATTGGCTGCAGTAAGAGATTATTTAACAATGGAACGTGTGATAAAAGGTGATGCACTCATTGCTCCTCACTGACTTACTGTGGAACTGCAAAGTGATTGCTGGTTTTGGGGATTCAAATGCAATGGGGCAAGGATTAATTAATTAATCCTTTTAAAAAAATGAAAAGGGGCAGAGCAGAGATAAAATACTTGAAGTTGCTTCAGAAACTTAGGACCAAATGAGAACTGAAAAGAAGGAATTTAGTTGTGCCATTGCCTGAACTATTGTATGAGAAAGTTAATAATTATTATTATAGAAAATAATAATAGAATAATAAAAAATAGGTAATAAGTGTGTAGAGCAAGGTGAAGGCCATGTCTGAGTTGAGGAGACAAGTTCTGTGCAGCATGGCTGCCATTACTTTCCTTTTTGCTTTTCCCAAATCAAGAACCATTATTTTCTAACTTTATTGCTAAGAAAGGTGTTGAATTTTTCACCTTTTTTTTTTTTTTGGTCATCTAATAGAAACAGTTAGCATAGCTGGAAAATACACTATTCTTAACAGGTCACTTAAGTTATCCCTTGAGTGCTGTGGTGGTGTGTGTGCACGTGCCACAGAAGGATGTAGCCTTAATTTGGGGTGAGCAGAGCTGTGAGTCCTGCCTGTGTCACATCCTGAGCAGGCAGCAATGCCCTGAGCATGCTGTTCCTCTGGCTCAGCTCCCGTGGGATACGTGTGGAAGGTATGCTGGATTTCAGCACCTTGTTGTCCTCAAATCCCTTGCTGAGTCAGGGCCTCCGTGGGAAACATTCCCATCGAGGGAGTCACTCTGGGAAGTGTGGGAAGAGATGCTCCACAGGTGCAGAGGTGAAGCTCAGTCCCAGCCTTGTGTTTTGGCATCCACAAGCCCTTCTTGCTCCTTGGAATGGGGGTAATGATTGGTGTGACAAATATCCATCAGGCTTCCTGTGCAGACATTTCACAGGCTGGAAGGCTGTGATTGAATTATTTTAATTCTAATTACCTCATTCACATGCACAGCATGTATTTTTCCTACAGAGTCGGAAGCGAGAGCCTTGGCTAAGGAGAGGCAAAAGAAAGACAATCACAACTTGAGTAAGTTTTGGTTCCTCACATTTTGCACCAATTCTTGGAATGATTTTGGGTATTAAATGTTCAAATACTAATGTTTTAAATCTGGATGCGGTACTGCACATAGTATAAAGCACTAGATCATTGTTATGCCCAAAGATCAAATATCTCAATTTCTTGTGAAATGTGTCCTTAAATCTACTACTGAATTATAATCTATTTTTATTTATTTTCAATAAACCAAGTGAATGAGTGATTGTTATCAGTGGAATTGCTGGGTTCAACGCATGACCCAATTGCTTTTAACAAATCCACCTTGCACAATTTTGCTTTTTAAATTTTAAGTTTTAAAAAAAATATTAGATATCTGGTCAATTTGTGGCTTTAAACAACAAATGGGTCCTCAGTATGGCAATTTTATAAATTTCAGTCTTGAAAGGAGCTCATATTTGCAAATTGGAAAAAAATGTTTTAAAATAATGATCATCTTATGACTTAATAAAGGATCCATAACTTTTCTTTTTATACTTTATAGTAGTAGAAAAAAGGAACTGTTTCATGCCTTGAGCCACTCAGAAGCCTTTTCCATAGCATGAAAAGGTAATGCAGGAAAATTGGTATTTAAATTTGATTTTTGGATCCTCAAAGTGTTGTACATGGAAGACTACTTGAAAAAGAGACTGTCATTTGTCCCTTTTTCTGTATTGGGATTTCCTTGAGCATCTAAATGTTTGTCTCTGAATTTGTCTGTGATCCTATCCCAGAAAATGCTTGTTTCTCAGTCATTCTGGTTTTTAGTCTCAGTTAAACGCTGCAGTCCCAAAATTTACAGTATAGACAGAACTTCTGTCTTAGTGTGTCCATGTGTAGGAGAGCCGAATAAATTATCCCTGGATTTTAAGCTTCAGGCAAACATTTCAGTGGTGCTTAAAGAAATCTTCGATAAAACACTTGATAAGTTGTGATTAAGTGTGAATATTGCTTGTAACATTCGTGCTGTTTTTCCTAAAGTTGAAAGAAGAAGAAGATTTAATATTAATGATCGTATAAAAGAACTGGGCACCTTGATACCCAAGTCAAATGACCCGTAAGTACAACATGCCCAGGGAGACTGTGGGATGGAGGAGGTAAAAAAAATCCTAGGGGAGAGCAAGAAGTTACAAAAACCCCCAAAATTCCTGTTTTCTACTTGCTTTTAGCACTCTGTGACAGCAGAAGTGCTTGAAAGGTTCCATTATATTTTTTGAAGATTTTTTTTGAGGGATTCATTTTTTCCCCTTTTGGAATCTGCTTGTGTTTGTATTAATTAGGTGATTTTTATTTCAAAGCTGGGCTTGGTGCTGGGAGTGACTGTGGCTGCCTTATCAGAGTTGTGAAGAGGGGAAACTTTAAGCTGATCTGGCTGCTTAGATGGCTGCATGTCTTGCTAAATGATTATTTTAATTAATTAGATGTTACAGCTTGGCAAGACAGAACTGGTCCCTGTTTCAGTGAAAATGAAGGACAGTTTATCTGGGAAGCCATCCATTCCCTTCCCTCCAAAGGAAAAAAAGAAGGAAAATAAGGAGCATAACTCTGTGCTTGTTAACTGATAATTTGTCAGTGTTTGCTGTAATTTCCCAGATGTTCTTTGTGATAATTCTACAATGATTTTGAGCTTTTATCTTGTATTTACGCTTTCTCAATGCTGATTCAGTAGAAAGGAACCTTCCTTCCTCTGGAGTTTGAAAGTCCACTTAAATCAATGCCCTGTGATGATTTTGGGGAGGTTTTCCAGTATTTTGAGGCACTTGCTCGTGGAGCAATTTCACAGCTACTCTGCAGAGAGGCTCTGCAGTCTCCTCAAAGGCCAGCAAGACAATGTCTCAGTACCAATGTCCAGGACAGGGGATCTTTGCGCTGACAGGCTGCAGTAAGATGTTTTAAGATGTTTTTTGCCCATTAAAAAAAAAAAAAAGAGAAAGTGAGACGATGTGAGGAGATGGTGGTGCAGCAGCCTCTCTCTCTCTCTGAAGCAGACGTGCTTCCCAAGGGCTGTGCTCCAGCCCCCTCTAGTGCACTGCAAACGCCTTCTGCATCCACAAACTCGCAGTAAATAGCAGCTGGGTGTTATGTGTGTGCATAAGGTGCAGTCACAGGTACAGGTATGAAGGGAACAGCCGTGAAGCAGAGCCTTACCTTGTCCTTTTGTGTCCTTCCAAAGTGACATGCGCTGGAACAAGGGGACGATCCTGAAGGCGTCAGTGGATTACATCCGCAAGCTGCAGAGGGAGCAGCAGCGCACCAAGGAGCTGGAGAACAGGCAGAAGAAGCTGGAACATGCCAACAGGCACCTGCTGCTCAGAATACAGGTTTGCTGAGAAATGAGCTGCAAGTGCTTTTGGTGTTGCAGCGTGTGGTTGCAAATAGTGGTGGCTTGTGGGGTGCGGGTTGGAAGGAACCAGCGTTTAAATTAACAGCAGGCAGTGAGGAGATATCTGCAGACATTTTTCCAGAAAAAGCCAAAGATATCTTAGTTGAAAAAAAAAAAAGAATCCTAACACACCAATAAAAGCACTTATGAGTGGTCTGGTTTTGTTCTACCATGGCCAACGCTACTTCCAAACCGTACCATCAAAAAGATTTATATGGTAATGTGTTCTTCTGTTTGCCAGGCCTAAGGCATTGGGACTTCATGTGTCATGTAGTTGTTGATAGTCACGAAATTAAGTTCAGCTCTTTGTGAGTCTTCCCTGCTGCTTGCAGTCTGTAGGACTGTACAACAGTTCTCCTCAGCACTGAAAAGCAGTAGGTGGCATGAATATGTTTTCTCTGTGGGTTGTTGCCTTGTTAGATTCACCCAGGTTCCCAGTGTTCTGAGCTACACAGGAATTTAAGGGTGAAAACTCCATTTCTCTAACTAATTCCTTTGTCTTCACCTCAAACTGCATAGGAAGCCTTAACCTTGATGCCAATACAGGTTTTTTTTCTGGATAGCCATCCCTCTCCATAGAAGGATAATTAAAGAAATGTACCAGAACTGGGTGTACCTAACATGGAGAGAGTGATATCCCAGATATCCTCGTGTTGCTGCTCCCCTGCAGCATGAACAGCTGAGCTCTGCATGCAGCTGCAGCCTGCCAAGAGACCCCTTAACAGCCCAGTTAATCCACCAGGGAGATAATGAAGCTGCAAATACCTGACAGTCAAGTGTGGAAGTAAACAGCTTTAAAATAGAACGGGTCAAGTTGAGCCTCAGCACAGTTTTGTACTTGGTTAAGCAATCTGCTGCTAGAGTGGATGATAAAAACACACAAACCTTCTGCAGAGCAGTATCAAGCAGTGGTGTTTCAAAGCTAAGTGAGATCACTTCTTAAACATCTTTCATCTTGCTTTGTATTACCCAATCTGCTCTGACTTCTTCAATCAAATATCATAAAACCCAGACCCTTGAATAACAGGCAGTACATCTGGCAGCAAATAACCTCAAGTGTGTATTTTCCCTTTTTGTGTTGATTCTGTTTAATCATGGAGTAAGGAACTCCTGGTTCTGGCACGTTTGCTGATGGAAGAAGTGCCTGCTCATTCCACCTTCTTATCTTGCAGTGTGCCATTACAAGCTTGTTTTAGCCTGGAAATGATGGAAAAGGGTAATAATCATCCTCAGTGACAGGAATGTCCAGAAACAGCACAATCACAACAGAGATTGTGATTGCCTGGTATAATGCAGAAGTAGAAGCAAAATGTCTCTTTTACTGATGTATTTGTGAGAGAGTATTTCTGTATGATTAAATGTGAAGGTGAGATTTAAACTTTTCATGGAAATTTGAAGAATCCTGGCTCTGTGTGGAGTCTGAAACCTTCCTGTGACTTCCTTGTGATTTTTTCTGCACAGGAATAGTGTTGTTGCTCAGTTTTGATTGACCTCTTCCAGCTCTGCCAGACTTGTAGAGTGAGAAATGTCCCCTCCAGAGTCTCAGCAGGGATTGATAAGGATCACACAGACATGCTGTGCCTTCACAGATGACTTTTTAAAAATTACTAAAAACACATGCTTCTGCTAGTTCTTTTTTTTTTTTTTTTTTTTCCTATTTTTAAATGTTTTCCTCACCCTACCTGATGCCAAACCTGCCTGTCCTGGCACTGGTTTCAGAAGAAGCCTGAGGGGAACATGTCTGTGCTGCAGAGTGCTGGGTTTTGGCTCTGGTGTAGGTGCTGAGGAGGAGTGTGAAGGGTCTGTGTGGGATGGTGTTCACCCACCTCTTCAAGACTCTGCTGTTCAGGTGAAAATCTGCAGGGCTGGAGAGTGCAAGGTACAAGCACTTGTCACTATGGGAAAGGGAGGAAATGTGTACAGGAGAAGGAAACTGGAAGCTGCGAGATGAGCATAAGACAGATTTTAGTTCCAGATTTAATTTGCCCCTTATTCTCCTTCACAGGAGCTTGAGATGCAAGCCCGGGCACACGGACTGTCCCTTGTCCCATCCACAGGCCTTTGCTCCCCTGACATGGTCAACAGGGTCATCAAACAGGAGCCTGTGCTGGACAACTGCAGCCAGGAGATGATGCCACACCACACAGACCTGTCCTGCACCACCACCCTGGACCTCACCGACGGCACCATCACCTTCAGTGACAACCTGGGAAACGTGACTGAGCCAGCTGGCACCTACGGAGTTCCTGCCAAAATGGGATCCAAACTGGAAGACATCCTGATGGACGATACCCTGTCCCCCGTGGGAGTGACTGACCCACTGCTCTCCTCCGTGTCTCCTGGGGCATCAAAGACGAGTAGCAGGCGGAGCAGCGTGAGCATGGAGGACACTGACCATGCTTGTTAGCATCTGTTGGCACACCCTTCATAAACTGCTTTGGTTCTTTGATCAGTAGATGAAATAATTTACCTTTTGTAGAATTTTTTTGATTTTTTTTTTCCCCCTTGTGCTTCTTCAGTGTGTGTGCGTGTGTGTATATATTATATATATAGAATTTTTTTTAGAATTTTTGTGAAGAAACTTGTATATTCTATTTTAAAACTACCAATGCCTCCAAAATATTGTACAGCATATGTACAGAATCTGTGAACTGGATTCGCCAAGAACTTTGAACTGGTCAAATCTACTCAAAGCAATAGAATTACAGATGAAGAGTCTGTTTCTACTGGGAGGGGGGGAGGGGGCAATTGCAGGATTGTAAATGCAACCTATTTACTTGGAAACAAAATGTAAAGTTTAAGAATGTAAAGAAACAACAACGACGACAAAAAAGTCCAATTTGTAATTGTATTAATTGAATAGTGCTGCCTTAAAGATACAGTGTCCCTCAAATGTTGGTCTTATATGACAAGTGTTTAGGGAAAATACCCACCCGACTTCACTGAGAAAACCAACTAAACCCAAGTGTTAAGACATCCTGATTGTGTTGATTGTGGTATAAAATGCTGTTGCTGAAACTGCAGGGAGATGTGAGTGTCTCAGAGTGTTGTTTAATTTTACTCTGAGCTGATTTGGGTTTTCCTTTTGATCATGGATCAAGTTTTTCCTCTTAAATTTTTATTTTTGATTTGTGACAGATGTGGGTGGCTTTGCCAATGGCAAACCAAGCAGGAGCACTGTAAGTTGGGAATACACTCTTTGGACAAAAGAAAATTATGCATATTATCAGCTGGGCACATTATGTTGTACATATCTAATTGGCTTTATTTTTTTTTTAAATTGCATTGTACAGTTTCTTTTGATTTGCATGGATTCCTTAGTTATCCTCAACATTTTGTTTTAAATTTATTTGTATTTCATTTGTAAGATTTTTGCCTCTTAATATTGCAGCGATTTTTTGACATTTTTAAAACTCATTGGAAGTTTTCTGCGTTCTTTGTAAACACTTGAAAGGAAGCTTTTATGCAGGGTTCTGTGTTTTAAGAGAGATTTTGAGAATATTTTGTATATTACAGTCTCACTTTGAAAATGTTTTTAAACGCATTTAAGGTAGAGTAAAAATTTAGATTAGGTAATAAAACAACTCTGTAGAGAAACTGAACTTACATATTTATTTTTAGTGATACAGAAAAAAAGTAGTAATATGCTTGGAAACATAACTATGTAGTTAATATACCCGTTAGAGCAATTCGTGTTCTATTTCAGCACCGGGGCTGACATAAGAAAAAAAAAACAACAAAAAAAAAAAGAGTAAATTACTGTATCTGCAAATAACTGTTACTTGATAACAATGTTATTAATTTTTAACATGCAACCATGTTGTAAAAGTAGTTTGGTGCATTATCTACTCAAGTGTAGTCCTATGCAATAACGGTAGTTTTCCTTGTATTATATCCAGCCTAGGTGTTCCACGGAGGTGACAGGTGGTGTTCCGAGCTAGACAGAGGGAATGGAATTCTCCACGGCAGCCTACAGCTGACTGGCAGGCGTAGCTCGTTCAGAATGAAGTGCCTTAAACTCTAGTTGTAGTCTTCCTCGACTAGCACTGACTGAAGTGTGGCGTAGACAGAGCTTTAGGGTGGTGGTGTGTAGGGCCTTGAGGTGTAGCATGGTGCCTACGGATAGAAAACCAGAGCTTCCCTTTCTCCTTTGTGCTACACTGGAAATTACATAGGATGAGTGCAACGGTGAGTAACCTGAGTGCCAGTTTGGCCAGCTTTCCAAGGAAACCTTGGGCTCAGCAGGTGGTGTTCAGAAGCCAAATGTGAACTGGGTAGGACGGGGTGGCTGGGGGTAGTGCTGGGAGTTCCTACAGCGCTGAGCCCTCTCCCAGACATTTCTCCAGGAGGGCTCCCTGCCTGGCACTGCTGCTGTGGCATGGGGGGCAGGGGCTCCTGGTGTCCCCTGCCTGGCTCCTGTGCTCCCAGCACAGGGGGCCTGGGCTCTGCAGGGCTGTGGAGCTCAGTTCCTGTGTTCCTGTCACTCTTCCCGTGCTGTGTCCAGCCCTCCCTTCCCGCTTGAGCCGCCAGCGATGTGTTAGCGTTGATGCAGCCACGGGGTTGTGGCTTCTTTTCTTTCTTTTATAGTTCTTGAAGGAGGAGCTGGAGTTGGGTTGTAATGACGTCCCCCTCAGCCCAGACAGCTTTTGGGAATAGGTCTTTCCTAGGGTAGAGAAGCTCTGGCCCAGGCAGGAGCAGGAGGCTGCAGGATGTGCTGTGGTCACCATGGTCTTGGGGCAGGAAATGCCCCCAGTCCCTGCCAGGCAGCTGTGCCATAGCTCTGAGTCAAGTGTGGGGGTACAGGCCTCTGGTGCTGCTGTTTGGCTGGGGTGACAGGTAGGAAAAGCTGTAAAAAATGGTTGTAGCTGTAACACAGGGCTGTGTTGCCCTTCCCCAAAAGATGGGGCAGCTCTGCAGCGTTGGTACAACAAATCAGGGTGTGGGTGCTAGAGTGTAGTAACTGAGAACCACTGAATGTATTGAATGAGGCTTTTGGTTTGGTGCCTGCCCTGGGCATTCAGAAATTCAAGTCTAGACTGTGGTAAATGAATATTTTTCAAGCTTATGTGAAACCACTGGTACTCGCTGGCAGCCGTGACTTCTGAATTTTGGCTGTGTGGAGGTGAGTTAGGATTCAAGGCCAACCATTCCATCAAGAGCTGGATTCCTTGGCAGAAGTCTCTGTGGCTGCAGCAGCTGTGTTGTGTGCTCCTATACCTGGTGTTTTCTGGGGTAACACAATTTGGCCATGCCCTGCTCATTCTTCCCCTGTGTTCCCTTGGGTTACAGCCCTCCTCTGAGGCTCCCCACCCTTGGAATGGTGACACTGCAGTGGGGACACCTGCAGGAGGCACAGATCCCCAGTGGGTGCTAACAGGAGATGCCTTTGAGCATGGAGGAGGGTGTGGCTGTGACATTTTGGAGGGGTTGGTGGCAGGGGACAGAGGCACGGGTGGGCATGGCTGGCTGCAGTGAGATGGACAGAAGTTGTTGCCCGCTCTGGTGACGGTGGCGCGTGTGACGCTGGGCAGCGGTGGCTTCCCTGAGCAGCTGGGTGGGGAAACGACCAATTCTCACTTGGCCAAAGCCGTGCAACAGGCAGGGGCGTGCAGAGTACCGTGTTCTTCCTTACTGCTTTTGGCCTATAAAGCAATATTTAACTCTTACAGCCTGTAAAAGCAAAAAGAAGGTACATAAGGAAAGCACAAAGCACAAAATAATGCACTTACATTTATGTTGTTTGACATAAAATGCACTGGGGGGGAAGCTGATGTTGATAATAGTATAAATACCTATATTTCTTGAAAAAGTGACATTAATTACTGCCTCTTGCTATGATGCTTGGTACTGTAATGTTGATATTCATCTGCTGTTGACTGCAGCAATAATTTGTGTATGGTCCATAGCACTGTAAATTATGGATCAATATTAATGTATCCAATGAAATAATTTGAACTGTTGTTCTTGATAGATGGATTAAAGCATTTGGTTTTTCACATACATCTGTGTTAGTCACTCGTTTTCCATGTGAGTGGATCTTGTTTTCCTGTGCATTTGAAGTCCCTGCAGTGCTTCCGTGTCTGTGACTTGGCCATGGATGTGTCCATGTCCCTGACCTGGTGTTGGCTGGCATCCTTGGTTCCACCAGAGCTGTCCAGTTGTGTTTGTGGCAGTCGCAGAGGGGAATGAAGCTGCAGACCAGACCCCACCTGGGCCTTGCAAGTACATGCCAAAGTGGAAAGACCCAGAGCTCATGGTCCAGAGTAAAGAATAAAACAGGTGGGTTTTATTTAACACCTCCTCCCATGGGCTCTTGTCATTTGCCTCCCTCCCTGCCCCTTGGAGCTCACCAGTGTGAGGTCATGGCTCTGTGAGGCCTCGGGGTACCTGCCCCCCTTTGCCTTGCTGTCACTCCTGTCCCCAGCAGTCCTGCACAGGAGCACCTCACCCCTTCTCCAGCTGACCTGTGCATGGTAGCATCCCCATCCCCTCTCTGCTCACTCCTCCCAAACCTCCTCTCAGCCAACACGCAGACAGCTGCCCCTGGCTTCTGCTGGTGAGGAAACAGCTGCAGTCTTGTTGTGTCTTCCCATCTTCATTATTTCTCCTGTCTCTGTTGCTCTCATCCCTTCTGGTCTTGTTCTTCAACAGCCTTTTGCTTCCTGTGCTCACAGCATTGAGTTCCTGCTCTCTGTGGACCTTGATGCAGCAGCATTGAGTTATTGAATTGTCTCAGGGGGTTTGAGCCCTGAGTGTAAACAAGAGTATTGAATTTGACCCGTGTCTTGAAAGTCTGATGCCTATCAGAGTAGAAAATTCAGTTGGATTAAAAATGACTAGCTCAATTTAAAAACCAGCCCAACAAAAATGCCTGACTCTACTAGAACTGCAGCTGAACAGCCCCACTCCTTCTTTGTAGTAGAGACTTGACTAAAAGCTTGTGAGTGTTTCCAGCAGGTTTTGTAAAGTAATTTCATAGTATTAGAATGTAGTAGTACTTCATTAGAAAATCTATTTATTAGCAGCTTAGGATGTAATTGCTATTTTGAGTTCTTGAATGTATTTTGACTATGCTTTTGATGGTCAGTTGTTTTTTTATTTTCTGGTCAGCTCGGAGTGAATTTCTTGCTGTGCGTGGCAACACCTCAAGGTTTTGGCTGGGTTGGAAAACTCGGGAGGAGCAGGAAGAACACCTATGATGGGGATATTGGCTGTAGGCAGTAGATCTCTGTCGGTAAAGAGTTGGTGGCAGCACTGCTTAGAAGCTTTTCCAGTTGTGTTGGATGAGCTTGAAAAATTCAGCGCAGGGTAAGAAAGTGGATTTTAAAAGTGAGTCCAGCTGTGCCTGGTGTGGTCTGTTTCACTGGGAATCTCTGTGTCCAGGGTGGAGGATGCTGAAGGGCTCAGCTGTGTGGTGTGGTGGCACAGCAGGACACTGCCACCGTGTCACCTCATTGTGCTTTCCTTTCCAGGAGACCTGGGAGCCCAGCAACTCCCGAGGGCAGGAGGGAGGTGGTGATGGCTCTGCCTCTGCTGTGCTGCTCCTTCTGCTCTCACATCTGGGGGTGGTCCCAGCACTGAAAGTTGTCCTACACTGTTGCTCCAGCTCCTTTGAAATACACTTGTTTAAAATTGCGGGGGAATGGCTTGGAAAAGTGTTCCTGAGTTATTAAAATCAATGAGGCTTGACAGGATGCTGGCTCACAAGGCAAATGTGTGTGCATTGAGCAACACCGTTGTCTTTGCCTGTGACCTGAGCTTCACCCTTCCTTGAAACTGCTCCTTTTCCAGCTCAGTTTCTGGGAGTGATGCTCTTAACAGGAGCGGTGCTCTGGCATCAAAGAGGGAAGTGATGGTTCCTGTGACAGACCCCTTTGTGTAAGTACTGTCCAAGAGCTGTGCAAGGAAAGGAGAAGGCTGCTATGGTCAGCAGGAAGGTCCAGGGCAGAAAAAATATTTATATGCAATATTTATGTGCAAAGTATGTAACTATCAATTGTTCTTATATATAAATGTCACCGTGGGGTTGGTGTCCACATTGAGGGTGCTGCCTCAAAGCAGGGTTTGGTGGATGGAGCACACGGCTCTGCGGCCTCTGGTCCTGCTCAAATGCTTTGCCTGCTCTCTTGCTGTTCAGCAGCGCCTCTCCAGAGCTCCCTCTGGCTTTCCTCCTGTGTGCCTGTGCCTGCCGCAGGAGTTAGACTTGGATTAAAAGAGCGGGGAACAGCACACTCTTGTGGGGCTGTGTCCTTCCCAGCACAGACCCACTGGGCGTGGATCCCTGCGCTCCATCCCATCCCTGCAAAGCCCCTGCTCCAGGGCAAGCTGTGATTTACTGATGCCGTTTGCAGATTGTTTTCTGTGAGTGCAGAGTGTAATTCACCCAGGGATATCAGCTCCAGGCTGGCAGGCACGCAGCAGGTGCTGTATGGGGAACGGGGCATTGCTCTTGTGTTCAGCGCTGTTCCTTCAGCCACTTCAAATACATTTAGTCAAAATCTTTTAATGTCTTCAAGACCTTTGGTCTGATCCTCATTTTACACTGAGTACAGTGAATGCTACTGTTCACTGGGCATGAGTGATTGCTGCTTAGATACTCCTTTATGCATTCCAGAACCACAGAATCATAGACTGGTTTGGTTGGGACTTCATTAATATTCCTCTTCTTTTTTTCCCTGCTGAAAAGCAGTTTGTAGAGCAGGTTGTTGCAAAAGAAATTACTTCAGAACTTGTAAATAATAAAATAATTTTTGATTCTCTGACCACTAAAGTAATTTTGTTCAAACAAATCCATGAAGAACTTGCTCTGTAAGGACCCAGCTGGGACTTTCTGCTGTTCTCTTTGGAGTAATGCATCATAAGAGAATAAGCAGAGATCTTAGGTCTAATATAATAGTTCTGTTTGAAAAAGCAGGAACTAAATCAATGCTGAATAAATGGAAAAGAATTAAATTCATGCTAGACATTAAAAAAATGCACCTCAAACAATGAGGGGTATTTTAAAAAGTCACTGTTTTATTAATAATACTTTCCACCCATTTCCCTTGATCTTTTGATGACAAGCCTGGCAAAGGCACTTTTTATCAGACACTGAAGCAATTTTGCTGCTGTCATGTGCCTTTCTTGATACACACATATTAGTCACGCAGCCGTTTTATGTTCTTTAGCATATTTTAATATATAATTAAAAATGTGCCTGTCTGCTACCAAGCAACCGAGCACGTCAGGGGCTGATTGTGTTCTGTCACCCACAGCAGAAGTGAGGGTAAAAAATAATAATAATCATGTGTTCACTTTTCAGTCCTAATTGTGCTTCAGCTCCTTGGATGTGTTGCCACAGACACAACCACTGGCTTCTGAAGGCAGAGGCAAAGCCAACATGGGGGAATGGCTGGCAGGTGACCCACAGCTAGGTCACTGTCACCAATAGCACACTGGTCCTCGATGCTGGGCTTTTAATGTGATTCTGTGACTCTTTTTAGTTCAGTTCATCTCGACCCAGCTAAGCTGCACCTTGGCTTTCCCTGGAAATGGAGTTCCAAATGCCTCTGGGCTCCTGAGAGTCTCTCCCAGGACATTTAAAAGAAGCAGCTCCAGATGATGTTTGTATTGTACCTCCATGGATGTAGATGGATCTGGACACTGTGCTGCAGGACACTGACTTGGGCAGGTGATAATCCTGTGCTTCATTCATTTCTAGGTTATCTGTGTGAAAAATGGCCCACAGAGCTGCTGGAGAGGAGGAGGACCATTTATGAGAGTGCCCAGGTGATTACTGTAAGCACAACATTAAATGGCTCTCAGCACCTTTGCCCCTCAGACTGCTGTCCCTGAGGCTCTGTGATGCTCCCCAAAAGTTGGGGTCACAGGATATTTCAGGTTGGAAGAGACCACAGTGGGTCACCTGGCCCAACCTCCCTGCTTGATCAGGGTCATCCCAGAGCACAGGATTGTGCCCAGACAGTTCTGGAATATCCCCAGTGAGGGAGACTCCACACCCTCTCTGGACAGTCTGTTCCAGTGCACAGTCACTGCACAACAAAGTTCTTCACATTCAGGTGGAACTTTCTCTGCATCAGTTTCTGCCTGTGTCCTCTTGCCCCGTTGCTGGGCACCAATGAGCAGAGCCTGGTCCATGCTCTGTCTCCTCCTTTCAGACACTCATGGGCCCTCACCTGCTCTCCTGCCTGTTCTGTCAGAGCTGGTGGATCCCTGAGAGAAGCAGTGATGCTCTCCCCACACACTGGCTGCTGTCAGTAACCCACTGAATGAGCCTGTGTTTGATGCTCTGGAAAAAGGAGACATGTTCACTGATATCCTTAGCCCCAGCTTATTTAACTCTGGGAATTATGGGTTTATTTTTAAGAAGCTGTGGCTGTGAGGATATGCTCTAAAGCTCCTTGGTAAGATGGTACCATCTGTGTGAAACCCTGTCCTGAAACTGGAGGGATGCACTGCTCTGGAGAAGGCTGGGCAGGGCTTTCTGTGTAGTTCTAAGCACCTCTTCTCCAGGATCAAGAGGAAAAGGGATTTATTATACCAGATCTATGCCACACTTCTCCAGTCTGTGTCTCTCAAGCACATGCAAAGGTACTCAGGCATGCACTGTGGGCAGCAATGCAATCATTAGTTCAAAAGTTTTTCATTTTAGTAGCTTTTATTACTTCAGCAAAACAGAAGCCAGCACGTCAGCACAAACTGGTGTGGGACAAAAACACCGGGGGAAAAATCAAATAATGTTGTAAATAATTCAAAGGCTGTTTGTTGATTGCAATTCCTTTGATTGGACCTCCAGGGAGAAGGATGGCATTACTTTTACATTTTTCACCACAAGCATCCATTTTATAATCTGCTCTGAGTCTGCCAGGATCCTGAGGCATGACACTGAAGCTGCTTGAAGATGATGAACTTGCTTGGAGTCCTCTAATTTCTCTTGGTTTTCCCCAGCTGGCCTTATCTAACCAGAAAAGGCTGAGATGGGAGAGGAACCAGGGTCTGACAGGTACGAGGAGCCCTGTGACAGATGTGGGGACACCAGGGAGTTCTGCAATATTGCCAGGAGCCCAATTTTGTTTTCAGGCAGCAGTGCTGCAAGCTGTGCCCTGTTTGTCACCCCGGTGGCTTGCAGGGGCTACAAAGTGAAACCACCACAAACATTTGGGCAGCAAGGGGAGACTTGCCAGCAAGTCCTCAGTATCTGGGAGTCCCAAGACAAAGGGCTGCCTTACTGCCAGGAGGCAGCCCCCACATGCTCCACAGCAGCAATATTTACTGATCTGTGACTTGTGATGGTGCCTGTAATCAGAGTGTGTCATTCCCTTATACTGGGTGCAAAGGCTGGCAGATTAGCTTCTTTGTTTTGCTCTTTTGAATGCAAAACAAGAAGAACACCAAGAAGAAAAGAATGACCAGTGAAGGTGATAACCTACTTGAAATATTTTATGTGGCATAGAAATTTTGCGTGGTGCCATACCATGGTCTATGAGCCAGCTACAGCTGCTTGTGTCAGGGGTCCAAGCAGAAGCAATGGTGGGACACCAGTGGCAAGGGACATGGCAGTTACCAGCTTGGATTAACTAAATAAATGAATAATCCTGGTCGCTTTCCCTGAAAGAAGACCATTTGCTATGAACTACACTACTGGCACTCTCTGGTTTCATTTGTGGGTGGTCACTCCTTCAGGAATAGTAGATTCCCATTCAAACAAAACAATTGAGAAGGCAAATCATGTCAGATGCCAATATTCTGCTTGTTCCATGCAGCTCTGGAGTGTATGCAGTGTCACAGGTGCTTCTGGATTTATCTTTCTCAAAATTCAGTTCTGCCCACTACCTTACAGTGGCACACAGCTCAGGCTTGGGGCAGGACCATCATCTTGGGCTTGCAGCTCTTCTTCCAGCCCCATCTTGCAGTCCTTGACCCACAGCTTGTATGCTCTTTCCAGGGTCTCTTCACTGGTGTCATTGAATATGTCTGGAAAATAAGAGTTGTGGTTAATAGGAAATCCAGAGGAGCTTTTCCTGCCTGCAAACACTGACTGTGGCAGAGTTGCTCCAGTTTGTGAGAGCCTTTTGTCTTATGTGTGTAGACTGAGCTTCATGGAAATAGTGTGAAAAGGAAAGAGATGGCAGAGATCACAACCATGCATTGCTTCTGAGCTAGGGGTTGGTTAGCTTTTATTTTTAAATATTGTGAGTATTTCATCCCTCATATTGAACAGATATGATTTAGTTTGCAAATATTATTTCTAGGCACAGTAAAAAATTAAATTCCTTTTGCCAAGGATATTTAACAGGTATTTTCAAGTATAGCAGAGGAATTATTATTCTCTTTTTCCCTTGCTGGTTTGTCTGCCAGAGCACTGCATTTCCCTTTGCAAAACGAATTGGTTAACCATAATGCAATCAATTAGACCTCATTCCTTAACGGAGTTCTGGGGCTGGTACACAGGAGGGATCCTGTCTCTCGATGGGTTTACCGAGATGCGAAAAAGAGTGCAAGAAATGCAAGAAATGCCCAGCTGCCAACCGCAGACCACATTTCCCAGGCTGCCACTGCCTGGGCTCCCTGGGGCTGTACCTGCCACGCCGAGGCCGGTGGGCAGGGGCATCCTCAGCTGTCCCCCGCTGTGCTTGAGGCGCTCCCGCAGGGCTCTCTGGATGAGGGCCCAGCTGCAGCCGCCGTGCCACACCGGCAGCTCCAGGCCCCGCATGCACTGCAGGATCTGCTCCTTCTCCTCGGCGCCCAGCAGCCCGCGCGCGTGGGCCACGTACGTCATGAATGCCATGTCGACGTTCACAGCTTCCCCGTGCATCAGCGACGGCAGAACCCTCTGCAGCACAGCAAAGGTGGGTGGCAGAGCGGGTTTGGGGTGGCAAAGAGGAAACAAGTGGGGTTTATTGCTAAAAGTGTCCCTGCAAATCGACATTTGACTCACTGCGCTTGCTGGATGTTGGCGTCTTGTGATTTATGGGTTGCTAGGATGATCCGCTTTACACGTGATTAATCGCAGCTAAAAGCTCCCATAGGGATCTAGGATCTAATTCTCTCATCTAAATCACTGATAGAGCGCCATGAGATGGAGGGTTGAGCTCTGGGTAGTGGATAAGATGTAGGTGTCCCCCCTCATTCCTCAATGGCAATTTCTCCCCAGCAATACGGGCTATGGCCTCCGTGCCTTGCTGCTGTTACAGTTTGTGTTGGTGACTTCCAGTGGCTTCACTGCAATCTGGTTTTCTTTGAGCTTCAGTAAGTGCCCAGTAAGAAGCAACAACTGGATTGAGGTCTGAATTAGAAATGAGTGGAGTTGTGGGGGAAACAGGGCAGGAGAAGGAGTCCCTTTGATACCAGGCCGGATTGTTGGGTGAGCTAGCATGTGCAAATCTGGAGTTTCAACTCCTTTTCACAAGGTTTTAATGAAGCCTATTGAATTTTTTAATTTTGTCTTTGAAGGGGATATTGCAATATAAAGTTTGTCACTCACCATTTCTAGCTCTGGGCTAATAAGGTGGCCAAAATCAACCAGTCTGTCCAGGTCATCCTCCCAGAGGTTGGGAGCCAGCTCTTCCAGCATGGTCTCAATGGCAATCCTGGTAGTCTGCAGTGCAGCATCTCCTTGGTGAACAAAGCTGTTGCAAGACTGGAACTTAGTATCCAGTAGGTATTTTCCATGGTTCTTGAGCAGGTCAAACAGCCCTTTGTGTTTCATGAGGGCCATCTGGGACAAAGAAGAGATAATTAAGGATAATTGATCCTTGTATGTGCTGTTGGAAACTTGAGTGTTTCAGTAGATTGGACTGCAATAACATGTTATACACTAGTTCCCCTGCTGCTGGGCAGCTCTGCCCATGCTGGGGGTTTGCTACGTGCTCCCATAGCCCAGCAGGTTGTTTGTAATGAACTTTGGTTATTTGTGTGCCTGGAAGGAAACTTGGGACTGGATGGTGGCCCTTCCCAGGACAAGGACTGGGTGGTGGGGACCAGTGGAGCTGCTCTTTGGGCAAAGGAAGGAGGGAAAACACTGCAGTATAGCAAATATGAGGGCTTAGAAGTGATGTCTTGTTAGAAGTACATATTTTTTCCGTCTCTGACTCAGGCATTAGCCCCACCCTGCAGTGGGGAATGGTGACCTGAGGGTTTCACAGTGCCTGCCAGAAACCTCCAGATATCCTGGGGATTTCTCACTGTGCAAGCACTGAAAAGTGCTGTTGATGAACTCATCTCTAATACACTTTAATAGCTTGAAGTCTGCTTTATCAAAAGTTTCCAAAGCTCTCCAGACATAAAGCCATTTACTATGCACTTTCCAGGTAATTTTAGAAGTAGAATTTGCCTCGCAGGAGATTGATTGACCACACTCGACATACCCACTGAGGTGGGTGCAAATGATCTTGCAGATTATTAATCCCCAGCATAATGAGCCTCAGATTCTCTGCCAGGAGTTCATTACAGAGTGCTATGGATCAGCCTCAATGGAAAGATGAGGCTTTTCTTCCATGGCTTTGCTGTGTTTCCTGTGAGTTTTTGCTGTTTCTGGCTGTGAGTTTTGGCGTTTCCTCTGCAGGGTTAGCACTGGACACTGAGTGTAAGGGATGTTCTAACAAATTTAGCAGCTGTAAAAAAACTATATATAGATTCAATGATAGTTAAAAGTCCTCATGCACCCTCAATGGCCCACTTTGAGTCCTCTAAGTTTTTTATACAATACCATGGATGCTGCTGGACATTTTACTTTCCAATACTTAAAAGGGGAAAGAAAGATGAGGACAGACTTTTTAGTAGAGCCTGTTGTGCTAGAACAGGGATAGTGGTTTAAACTGAAAGAATATAGAATCAGGCTAGTTGTGAGGAACAAATTTTTTACAAGGGGGGTAATGAAACCCTGGAATGAGTTTTCCAGGGACTGGTAGATTCCTGCCCCATTTCTGGAAACACTTAAGAACATGTTAGGTGGGGCTTTGAGCAACCTGAGCAAGTTAAAGTTATCCCTGCTCATCACAGGGGGATTGGATTTGGTGACCTCAAAAGGTCCCTTCCAACCCAAACCATTGCATGACTTTTCAGTTTTGAAAGCTGCAGCTGCAGAAGGTCATACCTTTAAAATTTCCCCGAGGCCGTTGGAGATGTGTCGCCGAGGGATGCTCTGCAGGAAGGATCTGTCCAGGAAACTCGCCACGGGTGGCGTGTAGCCCCCGAGCTTGTTCTTACACTGCAGAAAGTTCACCCCGTTCTTGGCCCCCACGCTGGCATCCACGTAGGAGAGGAGGGTGGTGGGGACCCGAATGTAGGGGGTGCGTCTCCTGTAGAGCGACGCAGCGAGGCCGACGATGTCCAGGCACACGCCCCCGCCGATGGCGATGATGGGCTCCGTCCGCCGGTCCAGGCTGAAGCTCTGGACCTCGTGCAAGATGTTCAGCACCAAGTCCATGGATTTTGTCTCCTCAGTGGTCGGCAGGGCGAGGATTTTGTGCTGGACGTTGTTCTGCTCGAAGTATTCTCTGACTTTGGAGCCGTAAAGTTTGTCGACGACTTCGTCTATGACGATGAAGCGCCGCAGTTTCCTCTTGCTGGCCGTGCCCAGCTCTGTCTGCTGGGGGTCAGTGATGTGGCCCCAGAGCAGAGTGGTGTTAGAGGGTTCCAGGATGTTGTATGTTTCTACCACTTTGTAGCAAAAATAGATGGGAGCTTCAACGATCCAGGAAATCCCACCTTCGGAGATGCATTCACCTCTGGCAAGGAACAGAAAACATGGTTTGAAATCACTGTATTCCTGGTTTGACCTTTGCATGTCTGAGCTAGTTTAAGGATGTAGCTGGGAGTTGAAGAATGTGGAGTACCCTGCCTGTGCACTGAAGAAACATGGGGATGTGAGGGTGGGATACCCCCTGGGTATCAGGGCTCAGCAATTTTATTCATGGAGAAGCTCTCCAAAGTCTTAATGAAGAGTTATATGTCTGAATTTCTACACAGCATTAAAAAGATACAGTCTCGAAGGGCTGGGACATGTTTTTCATGCTAGAAGTTGAAACCCCGTAAAGAATGATCCAGCCCAATCATCTCAGCTTTCAGAAAGGGAGTGGGGAAGAGAAGACGTTGCCAAAATTTTCCACATTTATGGAAGGAGCATCCTCTGATGGTGTATCTGGGTGGTAGGAGTTAATTTATTTCTGTCTATCTATACACAGACACACATCTCCATTCAGACCAGTGTTTCTACAATGCCTTAGTTAAGCTAGCAGACCTCTACCTCTAAATAGGTGTGATAGAAATAGGAAATGCTCCTGGAGAGAGAAAGAAAATGGTTTGGGGATTGGGAAACATTTCCACATTGGAGTTTTCAAGGGTAAATAAAAGCCAAAATTAGTTATCTTTCTAAACTAATGAAAAACATAGTCCTACAACTCCTTTTTTCTGTGGGATGGGCAAAGTAGGGAAAAAACAAAAGGCATTTTATGTAAGACTGGTTTTTGAGCTGCATTTTGGTAAAAAATGACTTTCTGTGATATTCATTGGATAATCAGATTTCTCTACATGCCCAATTTCTTTTCACATGCCTGAACATTCACTTAGAGGTCAAAATAGATGCTTCTCTGCTTTCTTTACCAAATTGTTTCTAAGTCTTGAACTGTTAAAGACTCTAAGCCCTTAAACTCCATAGCTGTTAAAGAAAACCAGTGAGGATTTACACCTTCCAGAAAATTTCTTCTGGGCTTTTCAAATATGGTATCAGAAAAAGCATTGTTGTGTACATTTCAATGTAACATCCTATAGCTGTACTTAACTCCATGTGCATTCATGTCTGGTGTGTGACCCTTCTAAGAGACAGGATGGTTTGGAATATTTCTTGGTGGAATCAGCTTTGGGTGCTGGATGTTGCAACCAGTACCCATTGCAACCCCTCTGCTCTGTGAAAATCATAGGGAATTTGGGGCTGAACCTGCCCTTGTGGGAGCATATGTCAGCTGAGGATTTTTCTATGTGTTCTTGGGCCCTAGATTCATCCTTCTATTAACTGAGGTCCATCAGGCTGTTTCTGGGTCTGCCAAAGTCCTGCTCTATCTGCTGCAGCTCTGCCTGATGCTCATGTGTGGTCACTGCCAGCGCTGGTGAAGGTCCCTCTGACCTGGCTGACAAAAGGGTTAGACTTGTGCCATTAAAATCTGAGCATGACAAAGGCTGGAAAACTTCTGACATGCAGAAGAGAGCCGTATTAAAAAAGATCTGCATCATGAATGGAGCTCCATGTGCTTGTGAAAAGGAGCATGCTGTAATTAAAAGATAATTAGCTGGAGAGATGTACTATCAGCAAAGAGCTGTGTGTATCCCTGGGGGAAAGTTTTGTCTTTGCTCTATCTGAAGCAGCATTAGGTGACTTCTGCAGTTTGAGGGATGTGTTAAGGGTTTTGCTCCTGTCAGTGACAGTTTATTTTTCCCACCTACCCATTTCATTTGTCTGCAACCACCTCTATAAACCCATCTGTCTCCCATGCCTTGGCGTGAGATTTTGCGCGCACACAGATTGAATTTTCACAGAACTGGAGAAAATGAGCCCAAGTGCAGCACACAGATGTCCCTGCGTAAGCTTTTCAGAAGTTTAAAGAAAATTCCTGTCTACAAAAATGGAGGCTATTGATAAAATTCCCTCTGTAACTCTGAGCTGTGTCAAGGAGCGCTGCAACCGCCCGTGCTGCCATACTACCCATGTTCCAAAGCCATGTTCCCAGGTTTGTACACATAGGTCAGGTTGGACAGGGCTTGGAGAACCCTGGTCTAGTGCCCATCTCAGGGGTTTGGATTAGATGACCTTCAAAGATTCCTTCCAGCCTGAACTATTCTATAATTCTGTAATTCCGTCATTGCGGGTTGAAGCCGCCATGGCACCCAAGACGGTTTTTCCATCCCACCAAGAAGACAGCCCAGTTTGGCCAGCCAGAGCAACACAGGCCCCTTCCTATACTCACATTGTTGCCTCAGACAGAGTGACCTCGTCCTCATCGTTGGAAAGGGCTTCTCCCTTCTTGATTCGGCTCCACGTGCTCTTGATTCTCACCAGCTGGAAATCCGTCTGCCGGGGCTCCTGGGGCATGGTGGCTCCTGGGACTGCTGCAGCACACGCCTCTTCTGTCACCAGCATGCTTCCAGAAGGTGAAATCTCCCTACCCAGAGATCTCCCATCACTGGGTGCCTTTCAGGTGCTTTTTAAAGGCTGCAGGGTGACCAGGCATCAGGAGGGGAGGTCTCGTCTCCATGTGAGAGACTAATTACAAAACTGAGATTACCTAATCTGGGATGCATGTTAGGGGTGGCAGGAATGTTTGAAGACACGTGCGACTACCAGGATGGGGTTGTGTAATCAGCTGCTTTTATAATGCTTAAGATGTACAACAGAAGTGCATACATTTACTTCCAACATGATGCCCTACAGCAAATTTAAAGTTATGAAAGGCAGTTTGTGTGATTCTTCACATCATTCAGGAATCTCCTTTGCTGAGCAGAGCCTCTGATCTGGCTGCAGCTCTATGCTGCTCTTATGGGATGAGACAGGAGCAGAAGCATGGGGATCAATACCAGCTGGTTAAACCTCTTTTGAGTTCACATTCCTGGGATTTTCTTGAATTGAGGAACAAAACTATATATATAATGGATATTTTAGCTTTTGTGGTGGGTTTAAAAAAATTATCAGAGAGCGTTTATCTCCTGAAGGGCTGTTTGGGACATGAGCTGGGTTTTGATCCCCACGTGACTGGGGGATGCACAATTCACTTTTCCATGTGATCTTCCAGCTGGGGCTTTTGGAGGGCCTCAGGCTCAGGTTGCCACACAAAGTATTCCCTTGGCACTCAGCTCTGTGTGCTGAGCAGAGGAAGATCTTCCTTTGATTTCACCAGTAGTGCCTGAAGGCACAAACCTGTCTTTGCCACCTTCTCAGACGTGTTTCTGAAAGCTGTCCTTGTTCAGAAACAAAGATCAAGAAAACCAAAATCAGATGCAAAAGCAGAGAGGGGAAAAAATGGGTCTTAAAGAACCCATTGGACAACTCTGTGTCATTGCTTTGAAGGCTTAATTGCAGCCAAACTCACTTTGGAACCTTCATCTATCTCAAAATTAATATTGAGAAAGAGCTGCAAGAAAAATCTCCAAAGCCATGTAGCCCTGCTCCAAGAAGTGTCTAGCTCCTGACTCCAGTCCTCACTGCTGGCTTCATCTCCAGATGGCAAAGTGCTTTTTAAAGAGGACAGGCTGTTAACCCCATTTTGTATAAGAAGAAAATACAGTCTCAGAAGTAAAACAACTTTCCCAAAGTCACCTTAAAGCTAGTGTGTGTGAATTAGATGTCACACTAAAGCTCGTAGCCTGTTTACCAAATACTCGTCTGAAATTTTAACTCCCAATCTAAACACAATTTTTATTGCTTTCTGCAGGAACTGCAATTCTAATGCAGTTTGTTATTTACTAAGTCATAAAATAGAACAATCTTAGGTATGCCAGGAGGTCTGGTTTATTAATCTTGTTTATTTGTTTTAATTAATAACAATACAGTCAGCTTTGAGACTTCTTTTATTTGCTTTTCTTTTACTCCTTCATCGTGTGTATTTGCTTATTTTCTATTTATACTTCCCTATTGTATTCTGAGGACACTGAGATATCTTCTGTTACATTTGAGAAGCTGACAAATTAACTTTCCACAATCCAGCTGCTTGCCAGCACCAATGACTGCCATGTCTCTTTACTTCCATCTTGCAGAGGGGCTGCCAGGAGTCAGGGGCAGTGAGGGGCAGTGTGAGCTCCCCCAGCCTGTTCACCTCCCCTGCCCAGCCCTGGGCTCTCTCTGCACACTTTGCAGGTGCATTGAGTCTGTCCGTGAGTGAATGAGCCCAGGGTGATACCCCCCAGAGGTGACAGATGCTGTTTTGGTTATGGGGCAGTCCATATTTCCTCATTACCTTCAGTTGTGTTTCATCTGAATGAAGAGGAGATGGCCAGCGCAGCTCAGCTCCATCACACGCTCTTTAAGGACTTTGCTTTAACTCCTCACCAGCCCTTTCTGCCCAGCTCTGCTGCAGGCCACCACAGCCTTTGGGATACCTGGGATGTTCCCACTGCTTGCTCCTGATGCCTCCCTCAACCAGTCCATTCCTGGGACCCTTTCTTGGGGCACAGACCAACTGGTACCAGCCCCAGCCTGTGCAGAAACTTGGCCCCCAGACCAGGGGCTACTCCAATGTGTGGCTGTGCTGTGGTGACCTTGTGGCTAAGGACCACTTGTAGACAATCTGGGGTTCAGAGTCCTGGGGCATTTTTGGCCCCATACCTGGTGGTTTAGCCGGGGCATGTCTGTGATATGTAACTAGAAGGTTATGAAACTGCCAATTACTTTCTTGAGAGCCAGCAGCTTCCCAAGGTCAGGATGTGAACTTGCTCTTATGTAAAGCAGAGGCACTGAAAGTCGGCTCTTTTGTTGTGCCTTTCTCATGTCAGATGCTGTTGGATCTCACCTGCTGCTTGTGCTCTGGGTGGGACAGGAGGGTGCAGCCCCAGCCTGGAGCCATCCTTCCCAGGCAGCCTCTCCCCAGGGCTGGAGCTTTGCCCTGGTGATTGAGGGAGGAGACTTTGTCCCCTCACCAGGCACCCAAGCACCAACCTCCTGCTCTGCAGAGGCAGCAAACCCACCACAGCACCCTCTGAGACCAGGGGACAAGAAGGAACATGAATAACCCTTCAGGTAAACTCCCTGTGTGGGGTGGGGAGCTCTGGGAGAGCGGTGTGACAGCAGGGACACCGTGTGAT